GGTATTCTTCTTGTTGGCGAAGCCACTTGGAGAAGCTAGGAAGGGTAGACCGAGTGAGGCAAGCTGCACTGGGTAAACCTTTGCCACGTCACCGATGTCCTGGCTCAGACCAGGAGGAGGCATGATCGCCACATACTTTGGCTCATTTGGCGATGGGCTGCCATCCAACTCCAAGCGACCTACATCTCCGCTGCCGGAGCTGCCATAGTCCTCAGAGCCATTCTCGGACGCTGACTCTGACAAAGTCAAGCTGCCATAAAGCAGCCGATTGACACGTGAGGGGAGCACCTGGTAGGGTGTGACTCGCCCGTCCAGCCCAAGGGATGCACATGTCGGATAAGAAGGGTAGATGGCGTCCACTGATGGTCCCACAAACCCATCCACAAACGACATGTTTAGCAAGGTCAATATTATCAGAGAGCAGAGCTGCTACAAATGGCAAGCTTGAGAGGAATGTCCCCAGAAATCTTCGCATGACAAACAAGAAACACAGAAGATCTTCCAAGGTCAGTTCGGGAACAGCCGTTAAATCGCATGTGGGCTCTTATTCTGGTTTTAAGGTATACGTATAGCGGCTTCTTAACGAAGCTATTCTGGAAGATCTGGAAAGAGCACCGAGAAACAGATACAGCTGCACGCGTCCACTGAAACGCATCGTCACAAACATAATTTGGCGCTGTAACGAATCCTACGGCGTAGCAGAAGAAGGAACAGGGTTTCGTGTTTTGAGTGGGCGAACAGGTTTCCCTAAACCCTAAACCCTAAACCCTAAACCCTAAACCCTAAACCCTAAACCCTAAACCCTAAACCCTAAACCCTAAACCCTAAACCCTAAACCTAAACCCTAACCCTAAACCCTAAACCCTAAACCCTAAACCCTAAATCCTAAAACCTAAACCCTAGAGCAAGCGCGCCAGAAGTACCAGAAACGCGGCCAGCAGCACCAGCCCGACCACGAAAGCCGACAAGTGCCAGTTGGGGCCTTGGTTTAGGGTTTTAGGTGTTAGGTTTTAGGGTTTAGGGTTTAGGGTTTAGGGTTTAGGGTTTAGGGTTTAGGGTTTAGGGTTTAGGGTTTAGGGTTTAGGGTTTAGGGTTTAGGGTTTAGGGTTAGGGTCGGTTCATGGAAGCCCTTTATCGCAGCCAGTGTGGTCAGTTTGTTGAAGCCTCTAGAGGTATGTCACATAAGACGACCCTGAACCCTAAACCCGAAAACACCAAGGGTGGGTGGTCAGGGAAGCAGCGGGCGCACACTACAACGCATGTCCGGCACATGCGCGCAGAACGGGAGCAAACCCTACTTGGATGTGCATGGGTAGCTGCAAGTGGGGTTGCAAGTCAATAACTATACCTGGTGAAAATCCGCATTAAGGGCACTTATACCCCTACTTATATCTACCCGTGAACCATATTTACCTCCTAGATGACTCTTGTACATCGGTGATTATCAAATGCCGTGGAAAAGCTACTACACTTTCCACTTGGCGGTATCCACACCTTTCCGTCCTGTACTGATGCCCTGCCATCCTACTACTTACTATTGACCAACCACCAAGAAAGACTTCTCGACCCGGCTTCTTTCCAAGAGGCGGATACGTCCTGTGACAACGTTTTCCTATCTTGCACTCCTGACGAGGATGGAGGGGGGAAATCCACATAGTTTGTCTACTCCACATCATGATGTGAGGGAAGGGTCGCCCAATCGATCGTTTGGACGCACTACATATGGGGTCCGAAGAGGTGTCACCAGATCCCAAACCTTCGATGCCTGAACCACCGGAAGGCTAAGACGCAGGCTCAAGCCGATCGTCAAGCTCAGGACGAGCACCCCCAAGGCCAGTGTGGCCTGTGAACACAAGGCCCAGCCGTTCGGGGTTTAGGAATTACAAACTGTAGTGCTTTGGGCATGGACGTAATATCAATGACGCTTTTATCCCACCCCCCCTCCCCCCCACACCCCACCCAGCAAGACCAAAGCAGGCAGTGCTTTGGGCATGGACGTAATATCAATGACGTTCTTATCCCACCCCCCCCCCCCCCACCCCACCCAGCAAGACCAAAGCAGGCAGTGCTTTGGGCATGGACCTAATATCAATGACGTTCTTATCCCCCCCCCACCCCACCCAGCAAGACCAAAGCAGGCAGTGTTTTGGGCATGGACGTAATATCAATGACGTTCTTATCCCCCCCCCGGCACGACCAAAACAGGCACATGTAGAATGTTTGCGAGAAACAGCACGAATTTTACCCTCGACTCTTTCTTGGATTTTGTGCTAAAACCCACACGCTTGAGGCCCTGAAGTAAGGAGCAACATAGCGTCAATTGTGGCACCGTCTGGTGGTAGTAGTAGTAGTAGTAGTAGTAGTAGTAGTAGTAGTAGTAGTAGTAGTAGTAGTAGTAGTAGTAGTAGTAGTAGTAGTAGTAGTAGTAGTAGTAGTAGTGGTAGTAGTAGTAGTAGTAGTAGTAGTAGTAGTAGTAGCAGCAGCAGCAAAAGAAGAAGACTAATGTGAGTGAAGCTATTTGTTTAGGGTTTCGGAAGGGCTTCTGGTCACAGCAAAGGCTTGCTCGGTTCCGTGGTCAAGCATCCTCAAACAAAAGTCGTCTTTCGGAGAAGGTAGGGTAGACTAGGCGCTCAAACGAGAATTCGAGGCGCTCTGAAAGGCTAAGCTGGCTCCCTAAGGTCTTCAGGTCTTGCACAAACATCACCTCTACTTGAGAACTCCCGTAGATCTTTGCACACTCTGATCCCTCCACGAACGGCGGTGCCGCCGGGTCAACTGCCTGTGCACAGTCGGCGAGGGCAGGTGGTCTCGGAAGCCTCCCGAGGCCGGCGCCGCAAGAACTGCGCAACTTTTGCAAGCAAGGTTCGGGCTTGCTTAAGTTTTCAGGGGGTTTTCGGGGTCAGGCTTGGTGGTTTAGCTTTGCTCACATAGAGCCTGGAACAAGGACGTAGAGTTTACTTCGGCGCTGAGCAACCCTGCAGCCCCGTGCCGAAGACCGAAACCTTACAGGGTTTAGGGTTTAGGGTTTAGGGTTTAGGGTTTAGGGTTTAGGGTTTAGGGTTTAGGGTTTAGGGTTTAGGGTTTAGGGTTTAGGGTTTAGGGCTTAGGGTTGCAGCTTCGTGCCTTGTGATCCCTACCCATGTCTACGGTTCTCTCCAGCTGAAGGGCCCTGTGGCCTGCCCATAACCGACAGTAGATTGCAAACTCAACACTGAGAAGACAGCATGTCGGATTTAGGGTTTTGGGGCTCTTTGCCACCCGCACCCAGCACCCCACCAAAAAAAGGTTCACATACCGAACGCGCGGCTAAGGTGGATACCTTTCAATACCCATACAGACTCAATGGCTAAACCTGAAATCAGAGCGAGAGGCTGAATGTCGACTTGAAAAATGTTTCAAGAAGTTCAATGTCTAATTTCTTGGAGTTCCGGAAATGAGCCTAACCTTTACATTCGATTCTGAGGCATTTGCAGATTTTCGTTGCTTTAAGGTCTTATCTAGCTTGTTAATATGTCGGTAGCATGCTCGAACTCTCCTTCACTTCGAGAGCCTTTCTTCTAGTTGGAAGAAATTTGGTGATCATTTAGAATGCCAACGGGCAGCTCAATTGGGATTATACTTGTAACTCACGTTTACGGACCCCGAAGTTACAAGATTTTTGCCGAGCCAAACACTGACAGTGCCACACAAGCGAGAATCGGAGAATCCAGGAGGCGAAACCCTATGCACGATTCAGAAAGTATTCACGTTCCTGTGGCTTCCAACTCAAAAAGTATATTAATCAAATACAAGCGTGCAGAGTGGAATCCGTGCCAGTTTCGGGTTCCCCCCAAAAGCGCCCAGACACTGGATCAGTTGAGGGCGATTCCCCAAAACCCAGGCATGCTATACCCTAAACCCTAAACCCTAAACCCTAAACCCTAAAGACTGCAAACAATGACTTCATGGGGTCCCAGTGTTTTTGGGAAACAAGGCTCGGCCCCAAACAAGCGTAAGAAAACCTCCCCAACCTGAAACCCTGATCCCTGAAACCCTGAACCCTAATCCCCAAAAGAGCCCGAAACAAACCATAAGATCCCGAAACCCCAACAACCCTAAACCCTACACCCTAAACCCTAAACTCAAAACCCTAGACCCTAAACCCTAAACCCTACACCCTACACCCTACACCCTAAACCCTAAACCCTAGGCCCTAAACCCTAAACCCTAGACCCTAAACCCCTGGGTTTCATCTCTGACCTGGGCTTCGGAGCCAGCGCTTGCAGCGTGCTCCGCACGCCTCCCAGCCTCGCATCTCGCGTGTTTAGGGTTTAGGGTTTAGGGTTTAGGGTTTAGAGTTTAGGGTTTTAGGGTTTAGGGTTTAAGGTTTAGAGTTTAGTTTTAGGGTTTTAGGGTTTAGGCTTGAAGGTTTAGGTTTAGGGTTTGCGGTGCGTGCGTGTGCGCGCGCACAAGAAGTGCACACGTTGAGGGTTTGTGGGGTTTAGGACTTAGGGTTTGGGAGTTAGGGTTTTAGGGCTTCAGGGCTTCAGGGTGTTCTCACGGGTGTTTTTTCTGCAGCTGCAGCCTCCAACCTAAAGAGCTTTGAGAACCACTACAGAGGATCCAGGGCTCTGGGCACAGGGGTTGTGGGATTTGGGATGTCTTCAATAGATCACAGCCTCTGCCGGCATGTTTTGCAGAGCTCATTTTGCGCCTGCTCCCCTGCAGCCCCGTTTAAGCCGAGGCATCACAGACCACACAAGGGCGGCTACACGGCGGAAATGCTGGCCATGACCTGATAGAAAGCCAGACTGCAGAACCAGTCGTGGCCAGCCCGCTCCCTGGATCAACTTGCTGCCTCTTCGGGCTCCTCCTCGGGCGGGACAGGATCTGCAGGAGTGGCTGGAAGGTCCTCCAGAGGGTATAGAATTTGGGGTTTAGGGTTTAGGGTTGAGGGCTTAGGGTTTAGGGTTTAGGGTTTAGGGTTTAGGGTTTAGGGTTTAGGGTTTAGGGTTGAGGGTTTAGGGCTTAGGGTTTAGGGCGTCCTCCAGAGGGGGCTCCACAGTCTCCTCTGGCTGAGGCGGCGGCCTGAGCTTGGAGGCTGCCATTTGGATGCGGTTCAGCAAGCCGCCCATCAATGGCTGCTTCGCATCGATCTGCTGCAGATGCCTTTACTCCACTTAGAACCTTAATAGAAATAGTGATTTTTTTAACTGTCCTCTTGGGCTATATATAGACAAACATAAAGAATAATTCCCAAGGGGGATATAGATGCTCGGTAGGCACCCACGCATGTCCGTAGCAATCGGCCTTCTGTGCAGAGGGGGGCAGGAGGGAAAGCACGGTCTTGATGTCCCCGCACTCTGCGCGGCTCTTCGCCGGCTTGAACTTGGCATCGTGCCGCACCAGCATGACGTACCAGTCGCATTTCTCGCCCTCCGCAAACTTGACGGGCTCCATGACGATGCTGGACTGCTCCAAGCCACATTCTTCGTGCACCTCCCTCTTGGCCTAAACTCCCCTTAGAACCTTAATAAGAATAACCTTATTAATATCCTCTTGGGTTTTTGTATAAACCAAAAAAAGAAAAATGATTCCCAAGGGGGATAAAAAGTGGCAGTCTCGCGGCTGTCCTTGTCCGTCGAGTCCCTGCAGCCGCCAAGCGCCCCAAGGTATCCCGGCATCGCCTTCCTCGGGTGCCCAGCTATAGGATTCCAAAGGGGTGCCCGCGTTGCTGCTTAAAAGGTGTTTGTTTATAAGGGCGCCTAAACCCCCACCCAAAAAAAAAATGAAAAAGCAAATATATTAATGATAATAATAATAGTAAATAAGGGCACCAATGGGCATCCTAGTTTCATAGCCTTGGACCTCAACTGCAACAGGACCTCGTAACCTTCGGTCTCCGCTTCCCTCAGGACGATGGCCTGGCCATTGACCTTCCGCGGGGGTGCGCAGTCCTGCATGGTCGCCATGGTCTCCGGGCTGCGCCCTTTAAAGGGCTCCTTTGTAGGGTCTAGGGCTCAAGGGTTTAGGGGTGTAGGGGTTTAGGGTTTTAGGGTTTAGGGTTTAGGGTTTAGGGTTTAGGGTTTAGGGTTTAGGGTTTAGGGTTTAGGGTTTAGGGTTTAGGGCCTAGGGCCACTGGAGTCTTATGAGCCCAGAGCAACAAGGCTTCTGATCCTCGGGGCTACTTTGCGGAAGCTGGAGGTACACTGCCTGGCAGAAAGTTCATGCTTCAGGCTACGAGACGAGATCGCAGAGGCATTGAGCCAGCCTGCACGCGAGCAAGAACCTATAGCATGTCAATCCAACTTTCAAATACGCAGAAGTGCCCGAAACCCTAAACCCTAAACCCTAAACCCTAAAGTGGAACCCCGAATCCAAACTGGCCAGGGCACTTCATCCACTCCTGCTCAGCGCTGTCCAGCATCTCGGCCTGAAGCAAGTTTCTCAGAGCGTGAGGCACAGCTCCGACCGGCTTAGGGTTTAGGGTTTAGGGTTTAGGGTTTAGGGTTTAGGGTTTAGGGTTTAGGGTTTAGGGTTTGGGGTCAGGGTTTAGGGTTTAGGGTTTAGGGTCTAGGGTTTAGGGTTTAGGGTTTAGGGTTTAGGGTTTAGGGTTTCTTGGTACGACTTCGATTATTCTGAGTCTTGTTGTCGATGATCTCTAGGGTTATTGCCATCCACAATACGGATGAGAAAAAGGCCTCACTCTGTACTGCCTGCAGCACAAGGCACTTGTTGCAAGCGGCAGTAGCTCAGCTTGATGTATGAATATAAGGGACCCGTACTGTCGACCCTCAAATGGCAGGATTTTCTTGTAGTAAGGAGCCCAAGAAGGATCCCCAAATAAGGGACCCCTAATGTAGACCCCCAACTAGCAGGACCCCAATAAGGTTCCCACCCCCCAAGCAGCAGGATTCCCTTGTCATAAGGACCCCACTAAGGTTCTCCCCACATAGCAGGATTCCTGTAAAATAAGGACACTAAAATAGCAGGATTAACTTATCATAAGAACCCCAACAAGAGTCTAGGGTTTGGGGTTTGGGATTTGGGGGTTTAGGGTTTAGGGTTTAGGGTTTAGGGTTTAGGGTTTAGGGTTTAGGGTTTAGGGTTTAGGGTTTAGGGTTTAGGGTTTAGGGTTTAGGGTTGTTCGGAACACACCCCCAATGTGATGCAGAGCTGGGCTGCTGGCGAGCTCCTTGTGGCCATTGGCTTCCGCCAGCTGTGCAGCTTTGGCGCCTCTGTGGAGCTAGGGTTTAGGTTTAGGGTTTAGGGTTTAGGGTTTAGGGTTTAGGGTTTAGGGTTTAGGGTTTAGGGTTTAGGGTTTAGGGTTTAGGGTTCAGGGTTTAGGGTTTGGGGTTCAGGGTTTAGGGTTTAGGGCCCAGGGTTTAGGGTTTAGGGTTTAGGGTTTAGGGTTTAGGGTTTAGGGTTTAGGGTTTAGGGTTTAGGGTTTAGGGTTTAGGGTCTAAAGCAAGGGCCTGTGAACTCCGTCTGAGAGCGCCCGGTGCCCGAAGACCTTCCTCTGTATCCCGGAGTCCGAGACGCGCCAAAAACGAGAAGAACCCAAACCTCAAGGTATTCGTAGGGGTCATTTAGGGTTTGGGGTTTGGGGTTTAGGGTTTAGGGTTTAAGGTTTAGGGTTTAGGGTTTAGGGTTTAGGGGGCCCGAAGCCTCAAGGAAGGTATCGTTTAAGGGTTGCACAAGGGAATAATACTGAGGGCCCCTTCTAGGGGTCTCTCCTGAAAGCCCTCAAAAAAGCCCTAAACCGCCCTTGCCTGACGCCCGGAGGCAAGGGTTGGCGCCTCAGGCGTGGCTTGGGGTAGCTTAAGCGGCTTCGTGCTTCTCTGCCCAAAACAAGTCGCAGGAGAAGGCAACGCTCGAGCCCGAAACCCTAAACCCTAAACCCTAAATCCCTCTTTCATTCGGCAAAGGATGGCTCTTTCAGGCGATGTACCGTTGTGCAGCAGGTGGTTGCAGATGGCGATGTTGCCAGCAGAGGCCGCCTCACAGCGTCTGCTTCGGTGCTACAAAGGGCTTCGGGCTTACAGACCCCCAACCCTAAAGCCCAAGCCCTAAACCCTAAACCCCTTGAGGAATAGGCTGTCTGTTCACACGACGTGGGAAGACAGACGGACGCCCGCCGCGCAGAAAACAGAAGCAATTTTCAACCCAGCCACAAGTTGTGGTATTCCGCGCCAGCAGGCATGGAGGACGTCTACACGGAAGCATAAGAGCATGTATTGAACGGAGAGGCGAACGAAGGAAAATCTGAGAAACGGCTCATATGTTCCTTCCTGCAGCTCTGCGAAAGGTTTCAATTATCGGCTGCTCACTTTGCTGCTGCCATTAAGTTACGTCGAGGATGATATAAGCAACTGTGCCGCCTTCTCGGGTCTTCGCGTATTCCCTGCACACGCGAGAGCACCTGGTTTCACCAGCCATTGAGCACGAAGAGGCGTGAGACATGTTCAAAGCAGCGCCTCTTCATGAGAGGGCTGAAGAAGGCTAAACCCCAAACCCTAAACCCTAAACCCTAAACCCTAAACCCTAAACCCTAAACCCTAAACCCTAAACCCTAAACCCTAAACCCTAAACCCTAAACCTTGTTGGTTTTGTGTTGCTTGGTTGACATGCCTCTGGATGCCCTCAATACTAGCGCCATCTGGTGGCCGCGAAGCAGCCCGGAAGCTTCGGTGGCTCCGCATCCTTGATGCGCTCGAGAAGCCGCCCCTCCCACCCCCGCCTAAACGCGAAAAAAAAAGAACTGGGCTTAGGGTTTAGGGTTTAGGGTTTAGGGTTTAGGGTTTAGGGTTTAGGGTTTAGGGTTTAGGGTTTAGGGTTTAAGGCTTAGGGTTTAGGGTTTAGGGTTTAGGGGTTAGGGGTTAGGGGTTAGGGTTTAGGGTTTAGGGTTTATCCAGTCCCAGCCAAGGATTGCACCTTTGCGGCATCTTTCTTACTCAGTTAGCACTAGCACTTGCCGCTGCCTGCATCCACTTGGCTGGGTTGGAACATGCACGACAACTACTAATTGCTTAAGAACCCCGAAAAAATGAAAAAATATATTCTTCCTTAAGGGTAATATTGAGATTATTACTTTTTTCTCAAGGCGAAGCCAAACAGCGACCAAAGCAGATGAAAGATGACATGAAAACAACGACCCAATTGGCAACGATGTAACATACATACATGGCACGCCAGTGCCTGGAAAACGGGCTGCGTGCAAGAATAACAAAACATCACACAAAAAGCGCCTAAAATGATCCCTGGAGAGTCCACAGTCATTGCAAGTCACCCTTCACACCTTCCCACCAACAACTCCACTCAACTCGACCCCACACCCCTCTAGCGGTAAACCTTTAAACCTGAAACCCTAAACCCTAAACCCTAAACCCTAAACCCTAAACCCTAAACCCTAAACCCTACTTATAACTACCCATGAACCTTCAAGTAAACTCTCTGAGTCCGGCTCCGGGCCCTGAGCTTCCGACCCACATCAAGGGAGTGCGGAGACGAGATCCATCACGATGATCCTCCATTCCAGCCCCCTCAACCCTAAACCCTAAACCCTAAACCCGAAACCCGAAACCCTAAACCCTAAACCCTAAACCCTAAACCCTAAACCCTAAACCCTAAACCCTAAACCCTAAACCCTAAACCCTAACCCTAAACCCTAAACCCTAAACCCTAACCCTAAACCCTAAACCCTAGACCCTGAACCTTATAGGGTTCTGGAGTTTAGGCCTTTGGGGGCTTTTGGGCTTGAGGGTTTGCACAGAAGGGCTTAAGGGCTTGGGCCTCCCCAAAGCACGAAGCGGCAGCAAGACACAGCTTACAAGGGGCACTGTTTAGGGTTTAGGGTTTAGGGTTTAGGGTTTGGGGTTTGGGGTTTGGGGTTCAGGGGTAAGGCACTGGGGCACCAGCGATCTCAGCACCCTCTTCCAAAAGCTGGCAGACCTGTCGCCAGGCGCAGTCATGGCTGCTTGTGTGTAGGGAGCCCTCTCTGAAACCCTAAACCCTAGCCCTAAACCCTAAACCCCCTACACCCTGCCATTCCCTTAACCCTAGCACTCGAAGAAAACCTATAACCATGCAGAAACCCAGCCTGAAATTCCTGAAGTCCAACAGCCCGGCCTCTGACTGATTTCCCCGATAGGCAGCGCCGTCCGTTCCCACCAGCTCTTTGCCTTCCAGAACGGATTGAAACTTCGACCGTGGACGGCTTCGGTCCCCCTTAGTTTAGGATTTGGGGTTTAGGGTTTGGGGCTTAGGTTTTTGTAACTGTTTGGGCTTTTCGGGGCTTGCTACCCTCAACCCTAAACCTTTTGGGGAAATGGTTGTCTAGGTTTCCCTAAGATTCTAAGGGCGGCACTGAGGCAGGAGACCGATTGCTTCAGCAGAACCAGTCCAGCTCGAGCCTGCAAGCAACAGGCGCAGGGTTGAAGGTTTAGGGTTTAGGGTTTAGGGTTTAGGGTTTAGGGTTTAGGGTTTAGGGTTTAGGGTTTAGGGTTTAGGGTTGAGGGCTTGGGGTTTAGGGCTTAGGGTTTGTAATCCCTTCACCCTAATATTGAACCCCCCCCTACCCCCTAAAAAATTAAATACCCCCCGCCCCCTACAACTCAAATATAACGATACTGGGAATATTTACTATTCGGGGGGTAGGGAAGGGGAGGGGGGGATGAGACCTAGGGGGAGGAGAACGTACCCCAAACCGCTACACCGTCCTCCAGAGACCTGTTTGAAATCCGGCTGCCCGAACCACCGCCGAAATCGAATGCCAGGACTCCGTTAACCCGGAAGCCCTCAACCCTACACCCTAAATCAAAGCAACCCACTTAGCCCCGCAAATCTCCAACGAAACTGCTCCCTCACCTAAGCCCTCTAAACCACAAACCCCAAAATGCTTAGAGGTTTAGGGTTTTGGTACAATGGGGGTTTACGACAATAGGGGACCCTAATATTGACCCCCAGATAGTAG